AAACGTCCTGTATAAAATGTTTATTGTAAGATATAAGTCCATGACTACGCTAACGTCTCTGTGTATTGTTATAAAGTCCCATCACATTTACATTGCTACACTGTGGACTGGAAAGATTCCCAACACTATCGACATTGTCATTGCATCCATATAGAAAGGCCGTGAAAGTAAATATTGTTAATTGATTAAACGTCTCAGCATATCTGAATGAGGAGTTGAAGGTCACTGCAGGATTTTTCTTGTTATCATATATAGAAGTTTTTGAATAAAGTCTGCTTCAAAGGAATATAAACACAAGTCGGCTAATAAATTAGCACACCTAGTTCCCATCGAAATTCCAACAGATTGTTGGAAGACGTGGTCTCCAAAGACTACATAGATATGGTCAAAAAGGAACTCCGGGATCTTCTTTTTATATCAATCTAGCTCAGAGTTCTTCTGTGTAAATCAGAATGATTTTTAACAATTAAAGAGATTTTGTAATATGACCAACCACAAGATAGGAAAATTTCCGAGTTCCATTTTTCTTAAAGAAACACTTGTCTATGATATCAAAAAGCCTAGTTTTTAATTTATCGTGAGAAATAGTTGCATAAAGTGTAAAAAGGTTTTGATGTTACAGACTTTTGAAAAATTTGGTGATTTTAGAAAGGTTCTTGAGAGCTTTTGAGGATCAACATATGATTTACACAACTTCTAGAATATGCTATAGCACAGTATGTCTGAAGTTTCTAATTAACAGAGATGGCAGTTTTTGATATGAATTCCAAAATTAAAATAACACGAAATTAAATAAAAAACAGTGGATATTTAAGATAACCTGAAAAGTAAATGCATGTAATTTAAGTTAAGCAGAAGAGTCACTATCTTTAGAGACGGTATCTTTTCACACACAAATACAAGCATTCAAAATTTGCTGTAGATCAGTACCAGTTTGAGTTTATCAGATTTTAAACAAACTTAGAGATAGATTAAAGAGGAAGGTCAGTAAGCGTAGATGATTTTATTTTCGCTAAATAACGCATGTATTTTACATTTTATTTTCATCAAGTATTCATGCACCGAGTTACAACGTACTCAAGAAGGAGGCGTTTACATCCCTTCAGAAAACTAAGTATTTTTTAAATGTTACTTGTACTCGGGACATTCTCATTCACTGAAAGTGCTATGACGAGGAGGAGATACTTTAGTGAACTTTAAACATGTTAAACACTGTCAGCGTCCTTAAATGTGATCACCATCTGTCCGGTATCCTTATATGTCGCCACCATACCTTTTCATTTCTAATTCACTTTCTGTCTTATATCCCCAGGAACATAAAAGAACTTGAAAGAGTAAAAGCTCATAACTTATCTTTTTAACAATTTGGGAACGGAAATAAATCGTTATGTATATAAGGATACCTGTTGGTTATTTGGTAGGCATTAAATTAAACGCCGATGGTAGGAATTCTAGTTTATTGTTCTCTCTTGTAAAATGGCGACTTTTCTTTTTTCGGTTAAATTGAATATTTTTCATGTTGATTCTTCTCCCATGAAATGTTGACATTAAATGATTTATATGATATATCATCATTAATCTCCATTTCACGTTATTGTTATGTTCCTTCCTTCCAGTTTTTTTTTTTTTTTTTTTTTTTTTTACAAAAGTATATTTTAAAAGTTTTTTGCATAATAGACACATGATCATGTACTAGCATCCTAACGTATTTTTTCTTTTGGCAAGTTTGCGGGTATTGTCAGTTTACTTTTTTTTTTCTTCAAGAAATTAAGCTAATCATATTATGACTTTCTGTTTACATTATCTGTCTAATTCAATTTAATAGGTGCTTCGTCATGAGAGAAGCAAGCGCAAATAAAACCAAATGAAATTTATCAAGGGTCCCACGGCAACGAGTTGACACGGAACCCTTGTCGTTGTGAAGATGCATTATCATAAGTAAAAATATTTATTTTGTTGACATGCAAAATTTTATTCCATGTTAATTAATGGAACTCAAGTTACTTGATTCTAAAATCAAGATGTTTTGTTACCACGGAGAACTCTGAGCAGCATTGTAACGTCAAAAACATGACATCATAAGTTTCAAAATTACTCTCCCTATACATTTCACCCATTCTGGAGCCATGCCCACTTATTTAATACTTTTCTATACCTCTTGAGAATTAGTTTGCCAGTAATGGTACCTGTAGCATGTTTGTTTGTCAATTTTCTCAATTTTTAAAGCGGTAGCTCTGCTTTCACAAGATCCACGTCTTAGAAGCGCCCCTCTCATTCCAGGGACTTAGAAGCGCCCCTCTCATTCCAGGGACTTAGAAGCGCCCCTCTCATTCCAGGACATTACTCTTTTGGTAAGATTTTTACCGATATTCTGTTTCCTCACAGTCCTTCCATCGTCTGGTACAGAGTTTCTATCAAAAAAAAAAAAAAAAAACCTGTTACATAACGGACTTTTGATATTTCCTGCTTCCGCCACCTTTTAAAGAGTTAATTATGGAATTTTTCTCCGAAAGCATTTCAGAATTCTATAGCAAGTCGCTGCTACGTGACTTTTTACAACATCATTTTTTGGCCTTTTTTAAATAATTTTTTTTACTGGAAATTGTAATCCTATTTAAATGAGAAATCTGTCAACTGAAATCCTTAGATTACAGAGTAACCCGAATGTTTTCAGGGTAAGGAAAACCATACAGCATGTTCAGTCCAGAGTCTGACGGTAATTCACTGATGGACGGCGTACAATAGAAATAACTCCATAGTTTTACTCACTATAGTGTATATAGAGGATATTCAATGTTTTGTAGTTGGATATGGGATTTATTTCACGAGTGGGACAGAATTTTTTAATATGAAAATATAAAAAAAAAAGTCCTGTCTCACGAGTGAACTAAATTCCATATCCAACTACAAAACATTTGAATTTTCTGTTTATTGCATTTTCTTTGATTTTCCCTTTGCTTCTGTCTTTTCTTACCACAGTGTCATAGGCTTTGACGTCATAGTTGAGCGTTGAGACGTCATATAGCTTAGCAATTGGGAGATTGAAAACATTGTTACATGGATTTTAGCATTGGCAGTTGTAGTCTCTATCAATAAAGACGGTTTAGTTTAAATACTATCTATACATGTATATCTTATGAAATGCCAAAAATATTTTTTACTTTGATATTCTATCACACAAAGTCGGAATATCACTTTACTATCCTTTCACACTGTGACAGAATATCTCCGGAATATCACTTTACTATCCTTTCACACTGTGGCAGAATATCTCTTTTATTCAATAAATAAATCACAGTATTTCACTGTTGAAAATTTGATAAAACACTATATAATGACGGATAAATGTGTCACGGTATAGGCTATATAATGTCTTTGCAATTGGCGATTCACTTCTGTTGATCTGTCCAAATATAAGTAAACTCAATTTATACTGATGCTCTTTGCTTAACTGAGAAACTTGAATGTGAGTTTTTCATTTACATTTTATTGTTCTATTACAATCGAATAAATAACATTAATCCTGTCCCTAGTGAGCTGACAATATACAATGGGCGGTAAATATCTAACATTTATTTCAATGAAACCTCTGAAGAATGAAGGACATTCTAAAGACTACTTGAAATCAGATGCAATATCGATTATAACTTAGAGTCTGGAGTACCAAATAATCCATCAATCATTTATTCAAAAATTTCAGTAAATATTAAGTTGTTGAAAATAAATGTACGTAAGACCCATTACTTCATATTTTTTTAAGAGATTAGTTTTCCGAATTGAAGCCATATGTTTCTTTTAAATAATTTCACGAGAAGACTCTTCACTGGTACAATGATGAAGTCATTGAGCTGATAGGGATTAATGTAATGAGACATCTAAAGCTACTCATCTAAAGCTCCTCAACTAGAGAGTCGTTCACAATCAGTCAAATGGAGTAAGTGTAAACGGCGGCTAAAGACAATTCATTCCCTGTCTAAATTCACATGAGATAATTTTTCTATGATTATATTTCAGACACAGTAAATACATGACCTTGACCTGAGTTTAATACTGTACTTACAGTGATGAATAATAGAAGGCTCATGAAAATTACCGGAATCCGGTTTGGTTATAAAACTTTTCTTAAAGCTTTTACAAAAGTTTGTTACTATAAAAGTCTATAAAAAACAAAACAATTTTTAATTAACAATAGCTTATTTATAAAAGTAAATTTTATTGGATACCAAGAATAGTTAATCCTTATTTTTAAACGTATAATATAAATTCATATATTTAAATGGTTGGTTACGTCTGTTTGAGAATATTTCATTAATGTTGGGGCTCCACCAATTGCCGCTGGATGGCTGCAGATTAAGATCTGTATTCGTGTTCGGCACTTATGGCTTTGGAACGAGGACTGAAAGGTCTTTTGTCCTGTCAGCATCTTCTGAACTAAATTCTTCTAGCTAATCAGTTCTGATTTACAGAAAGTTAAAACTGCATTTCAAGCCGTAGAAATATTGCTTATTTACACAAGTTAATTGCCAAAAAATCTAAAAAATGAGAAATAATTCACATATCGAAAAGATAGAGAACACGATCTTCACATAATCCTTACAAACAAAGATACATTGCCTGGTCCAGCAAATACTATTCCACTTAATCGCTGTTCATCATCTTCACCTTTTACCTTTAAGAGACATATTTATTGGAGATATTTCAGTATTTGTTGTTATACTTTTTTATGCACTGACATGCATATAATTGATCTGTTACACGTACAAAAGTAAAACAACCGAAAGAATCTTATAGAGTACTCTACAACGATATGTTCAAGACCGATCGACAGGGGATGCCCAATCCTCCATGTCAACTGATCCCACCTCTGGGTTTTGCTCTGCAACAGTTTGTTTTGTTTCAATGGACCTTTGAGCTCGATTTTTTTTCTTTATCTCCATATTTCATGTATTTTATACAAACTTTCAGAAACGTTCATCTGATTGAATGTTTATAACACCCCCTCCGAATTTTTTGCCGAAGGGATCTAATGTACTACATGTATGAAATCTATGATTGAAAAAATAGCATTTTGAAGCTCTTTACGAAAATCTCGGCTAAAAAATCCATATATAAAAGGGTTGATTCCACTACTGAGAAAATGAGACAGTATGCCGATATTGTAGAGCACTTGCTCATTTCTTGACATATTTTTAAAGAAATGAATATTAAGTGTCTTACCAAAAAGCAAACCAAAATAGGGGAAGTAACTCATCCACTGTATGAGTGTAATTAATAACAACATTAGGGTAGTTCTTTTCATTCGAATTTGAGTGGAAGGTCCCCTTAGAGAAGACACCTTAGCATTAAAGACTTTCAATTTTGAAACCGGGGAATTTTCAGATTTTGGGTAAACAGGAGAGGGTTTCTGTTCCGTGCAATCTTTAGTTTCTGAGTTGAGGTTAGCGGAATCATAGGGTAAACTTTCTGGAGAGGATGATATATTATTACTATTTCTCTCATCGGTAAACTTGTCTGTTTTCTTCCTCCTTCTTTTAGCTGAAAGTTTGCACAATGTTTTCAGAACTAATGAGTATAATGTTAGAAGACACAATGAAATTATCAAAAAGAGAACAGAAACCATGCCATAGTATAATATCGGATAAAATGTATCCCGATATTCCCTGTCGACAGAACAAGATGTCTCTGCAATGGGCGAATCATTTCTGTTGAACTGGCCAAATATGATAAGACATGGCCAAGAAAATAGTAACGCAACTACCACTGTTGATATACATAGTTTCTTTGCCAGTGGAACATGAATATGACTTTTTGCCAACTTGCATATTTTGAGATATCGGTCCACTGCAATGACGACTAACATTAATCCGGCTCCTAATGACGTCATAGAACGAGTAAATCTTAGGAATCTGCAAAGGTGGGGGTCATCCAGCGTCACGGGATTTAGAAGCATTGCTATCTCAATGGGCATGCAAGTGACAGAAGTTATCAAGTCGAATGCTGCTAAGAATCCAATAAAATATTTAACAGTTTTCTTCTTCCATCTGAAGAAATAAATGTAACACACGACAAGATTACCCATAATTCCTAGTATCATTAAAATTGTCACATATACGACGACCGGAAGTAAGGTCAAAGCCATGTTCTGGTCCAGCTCCAAATTCTTCTTACTATCAAAGGGCAATTCCTGCTCCCCCTTGGACAAATTCTGAGTATGGTTAACAGCCATTAGAAAATGCCGTTGCACTAAGGAATCATTCATATCTAATCCTATAATAAGAATAGGAAGTTAAAAGCAATTATATGGGCAAAATATGCTGTATAGTAAGGAAGGATGTTTATTTTTCTATAAAATTGAGTTGATCTTGTATGTTACTTTTTCAGAAGTGCAAATATGAATGTTGTAAAACACATCTAAAATTCAATTTTATTTTGATAATTTTCGAACATTTTTTAAAATTCAATAATTCAGTATGAACATTTAAATACCGAAACCTACCTTTTCAAGCAAAATCCCACAAAGACTGAACAAAGACTGTTTTCCGTGTCAAGAGTGTTTAGGTATTAACCCTTAAATTGTCACTTATTAAAAATGATTTTAGATTTGAATGATCGCTACATATATTACTAAATTTTAAAAAGACACGTTTTGTTTTTTTTTTTAAAAAGTTTTGGAATTCCTGATAATGCAGCATCAGATAAATGATTCATAGTCCATTAGATATATAAATATTTTTATGTTTAAGGAGGAAGTAAAGGTCGACAAGGTATTAGTCAGCGTAGTAAAAAAAACCCTCCAAAGTACTTATTAATATTGTGAATGATACTATTTTATGAAATGAATGTGAAGTGCACAATCTGAGAGAAATTATTATTTGTCTGTATACAAGTACTACGCAATCAATGAATCATAAATGCATCCCCCTTTATAATAAAGAATATTTTTCACGGATTGTAGCCCAAAAACCCTTTTTACACCATGGGTCCTTGCTTAAAGTATGATACAAAAGATTGAATTTTACTAAATATTTCGAATTTACGACATAAGAAAATAACGTTTTTGATATCAGTTGGTAGTTGTTTCGATATCAGAAAATAAAATTGAATTTCTTTTAATAGAAATTATATTAAATGATTTAATGCTTCGCCTCGGGAAATAGTCCTGGCCTTGGGGAACTGGAATCTTGCTAACTCCCTCAATGATATACTTTCACTGTATAATATTTCACGTGAAAGTTATAGGTCTTTCTGATGAGACCTTAAAAACTGAGGTTCCGTGTCACGGTAGGCTTTGGCACGATAAAGAACCCACACTGCTCAATAACTCTGAGTGCCGAGTAAAGGTCTAAATTTGAAGCCTTCTACCGGCATACGGCTACCTCTCTATATGAGTTAAAAATTCTTGAATGGGACGTTAAACAACAGTCAATCAATCAATCTTTGTGTTTGGCCAAAGTCATCAACACAAGGGTTTCATGCTACAAATACGCAAGAGAAACATCCAAGTGCGCATAATATATATTGTATTAGTTGCATTTTAGTTACTTATATTTTTCAAAATCTAAATATTTGTTTAATTAATTCTGGAGCATTAATTTGCTGTTGAGATTTTAATATAACTTTTTAATATCAATAATTCAGTTTGTTATACATGTAATAATGAAAAGAAAGTTAATTTCTCATATCAGATATTTTGCTTGTGGATAAAAAATGAATCTCTTATAAGATATTGTAGATCCTTGATATCAAAAAATAATTCTATGATATTAAACTTATAAATCAAATATGAAATAATTGATATCAGAATGTGGAAGCTTTCACATCACACCACTAATAACTACATATAATAAGTATCGGTTTGTGCTGTTTTTCTCTATGTGGTTATTGGTAGTTGAGACATGTGCCGTTTTAGTGTTTTTAAAATATTTTCTTGTATAAAAAAAACTCTATTTTCTTTCTTTGATATCTAAGATTAAGTTCAAGAAAAGACTCTCAATGTTTAATATATTGTTGAAAGTAGGGCAAAACCTGGAACACGAAATCAAGCACCACTGCGAGATGGAAAGGGAAACGTACATGCTTTTTTTGTCACGTAATAGTGATAAGTACAAGGAAATGGGCGTGTGTTTCAATCATTTTAAACTAAAGTGAGTTCATATGGGCGAAATGTGCATTACAACAGAAGATGAGTTTGCAGAAAATAATCATGGGTCAGAAGATCGAGTGAACAAGCTATATGATGTAAAATATTCGTTCAGGTGTACTGTACTGCTAAGTACATTCATTCGCTAGGCAAAAAAGGATATTTTGCAGACCTGAATAATCTTTTCTTTTTAATGATTTTTGGAACTCTTAATGGTACATCCTATGAATTAAAGACCAACAAGATTTATTTCACTTGTGAATTGTGCGACAGTTTTGTTTCTTATCAGTGCATGTCACGGTGAAAAGAAAAGCGAGAAGTGAAAAAAAAAGTCATTTGTAACCGCAAACGTACAACGAATTAAAAAAAAAATTCGCAATTTCACTTCGCTGTGTTAGTTGCCTATGATATTAATCATTATCGTCACGTGATATAGCAACATTTATTATCGTTGGACTATACTCAGTTAAAAATAATTCTAAAAAAGGACGCGTATTTATAATTGACGAATAGAAAAACAAAGTAAAAGCAATGTTTCTTCCGCCTCTCGAGTACTTTTAAATGAAACTGCTGAATAAAACATGAAAAGTTTTGTTTTTTAAACCAATGATATGCGATATTAGTTCGTTGTGGTCGATCACAGTTTATTCCATCCAAGGGATCCACTATACAGTTTTGTTTTTTAAATCAATGATATGCACCAAAGAAATGAGTCAAAACTTCTTATACTTATAACATTTTATTCATTGAATGATTTTTCTTTTAGTTCGATGAGGTTGATCACAGTTAATCCCATACAAGGGATCCACTATACAGGTTCTTGTATTTGTTTTCATAATCATTAATTATAAACTTATTAAATGTACGGAAGAGAATTTTCAACATATATAACTTGCAAGGTGCATGGACTCAATGTCAACTTTTCACTGCATTTGCAAGATGTTTTTTTTTAAATTTAGTTTTGTGAATTTGCCTTCCATGTACCGAAATATGAAACATTTGTGCCAGACTCTGTGTTGTCTTTTCTTTCGAGTTTAAAGGGATATATCGAATCAACTTAGGAATGAAAATAAATGTTGATTTTAAAAAAAGTCGTTAACAAAAATCTCATCAACATCTTTTTTTACTTTTCCCATATATGACTGATATTCTGCTTTTTTCAAATTCTTCGTACAATTATATAATGTGACGAATGCACTCTATTTTGTTCTGTATATAGAGCATTAACTCCCCAGTTCAATAACTGCATATTTTAACAGTTATATTTTCTTCCTGGTAATCACTACAATTGGTGCTTACCTAAACAGATGAAGAGTTGTATAATAACCTTAAAAAGTATAAAGGAAGTTCTGCATTATTCACGCTAGGCCTCTATGTAATTAACATGTATGTACTTCCGTGTTACTATATAGAAGGATTAAAGAATATCAAGAAAAATTACTGGTTTGGGGGGTTTGAATGTATGGTTGAAGGAGAATCACCTAGTGATTTCACAGTACATTTTATTAAATTTGTCTATATGAAATTTTTTTTTTATTAATTATCATTAAAAAATACTGCTGAACTTACTCTGAATATATTGATGAAAGAGCCGTTCTAACATGTTTAAAAATACGCATATTTGAAAGTACGTAAAATAAGTACGTGGAATAAAAAAGCCATTCTAAGTTATGTGTGTGAAAATATTGTTAGAAAAGTGACTGAATTGACATCAAAATACTGTCTTGAGGGATGGAGGAGGTGTGGGCTCTTGATTTCCATTAAACGAAATAGAATTTTTCAGCAAATTTTCTCTATAGAATCTAAGTAACAGGCTGAACTCAACGTTAAGTTTTCTTTATGTTTGCAAGATTCTTCTGTTCATTCTGAAGGGAAAAGTGCGTTTAAATTTGCAAATATAAAAAAGTCAAGTAAATTTGCTATTCAGTGTTTAGGGATAAATATAAGTTGTATGCGGGTTTTAAGTGGAAAATTCATTCGTTCATAAGGCTCTGAATATTTGAGTAATATTCTGTGGTATATTTCGATTTAGAAAAGTTGAAAAGGAGGAAATACATCTTTCATAGGCTTCCAAGTAATTTTCTTTACAATGAATATTTGTTTTAGTTCTACAAATGTAAGCTGTCCGATGTCAGCTAGAATGAATTGTTTTTGCGAAACTTCATCACCAGTTAAAAAAATGAAATGAAACATGTAACTAATCTAATAAATCTAACATTTTTTTCTTAGAAAGGTGGAAGTAAGTGATTTATGATAATATAATGACCTAGAAATGCTATGATAAACGAGTATGTTGCGAGTATTTCAGATTAATAATTTCAAATGTATTTTTTACCTACTATTTTCAGCATATTGGTGATATTCTGCTATTTTCAATTTCTTCATACAAATAAATGTATCCCAAATGCACTTTCATTAATATGTTCTATGTATAGGACATTCACTCCCCCAACACAATAAGAATTTTTCATACTTTAACCGTTTTTTCTTAGTAATTTTATATATTGGTCGTCAGCGAATCAGATAGAATATTGTTTCTGAAAACTACAAAAAGTATGAAAGAAGTTCTGAATTGATTACGCTAGGCCTAACTATTTGTACTTATATATGTAATCTTAAAATGCTTTTAAATTTAATTTTGTTTAGCTTCTGCAATTAAAAAAGATCTGTCATCAATCTGAATAGAATATAATCTGAATAGATTGATGACGGAGCCTTGTAGACATGTTTTATTTTAGGTTGGGATTGGGAAATTTGAATATAATATATTGCTAAAGTGTCCTTTCTTTATTAAATACCTTACAAAATAATTTTATTATTCTACTATATTTTTCCCGATGATTCATCCAAAGAGTCAATATTGTTGACAAGAAGGAATAAAACACCATATAGCTTTTAATTTTAGTTAGTATCTTTTTAAAAGATAATACACACAGCACTTATGACGAATTCACAAATCTAATCCCTGATTTAAAGAATCCCCCAGTCCCCTTTAAAACTCCACTAATCTTCCTTTTAGATAAAGAGCACTTATCTATCACAGAAGTTACAAACTAAACATGTGTGGAAAAAGTGAAGAAAACGAGATGTGATCATCCTCATTAATCTTTTAAACAATACGAAACGTGAACAGGGCAAAAGCACAGACCTCCGGAAACACCAGAGGTGGGATCAGGAGCCTAGAAGGAGTAAGTGACCTCTGCTGATCGGTCACACCCGCCGTAAACACTCTGTACTGATCAGGTAAAGTGTGAAATGCATTGAACACTACACAGGTGTTCTTGCTTTATTTGTATGTTTACTTTGATAATGAACTCTCTTATGAACATTGCTTTCTTTATCGGTCATATGACGCTCCTTTGAGCACAAACAAAAAATAAATATAACGCACTGACACACCTTTGGCCAATCATAATGTTCCTGAAATTATAGAATTTTTTAACCACATAGTCTGACACAGATGTTTCATATTTGGATATTTTACTAGAAAAGACATTAATGGTAACCTAACAACAAAGCTTTATGATAAACATGATGACTTCAATTTTTCAATCGCCAACTTCCCTTACTTATGTAGCAATGTACCCTTATCAATTGCATATGGGGTTTTTGTCACCCAGTTGATTCGATACGCAAGAACATGCTCTACGGAAGAACAATTTGTAAAATGAGGCTAGGTATTGACAGACATTGATGAAACAAGGATAGCAACAGTCTCGTTTGAAGACATCATTTCGCAAGTTTTATGGTCGATACAATGACCTTGTCAGCAAGTACAACCTATCATTAAGTCAAATACTGATTGACGTTTTTTATACTAATTGTTAGGCCATTATTTACACACTGAATTTTCTACGTTTTTTTCGTTTTTCCCGATAATGACAGGGAGCACACGGCGAGTGTCACCGGTCGGCAGGGGATGCTCACTCCTCCATGGCACCTGATCCCACCTCTGATATTTTTAGAGGTCCGTGTTTGCTCTGCTCCCTTTTGTATTATTTTAACGGATTTGAGTTTGAATACTTTTCGTTATCTCCATATTTCATTTGTCTATTACAATCACTTTCAGAATACTCAGAATAAAGATATGTTATAGAAATATGCCAACCAATTTGTACGGACTTTATATTGCCCGAAAACACAAATTTGACATAAAGATGAATCTTCAAACTACCCTTTTCTTTCACAATCCAGAAATCCATACCTTGAATAATTGAAAATGAAATTCCCCTGAAATGTCCTTATAGATTTTATGGATATTACTGTATTACCTATAATTGATTCAAATTGTTGAGTGGTCACATACAAACAATACATAATACAGAGTACTCACATAAAAAGTAACACTTAATGTGAGTTTTCAAGTATGTTTCTAGATACTTGTATGGATGGTTTCAAGGGAAACCTTCCGAAATGTGTTTTGCAATAATAAAGCACGTACAAATAGTTTTGCAAACATTTTCAACATATTATTTATAGATTTTAGATATGTTCATCCGATTAAATCCGATTGAATATCATGAATACAACCCCCAAAATTGCTCGAAAGAATCTAATTCACTATTTTAATCTTCATTGACCGAAAAGCGTTTTGAAGCTCTTTACGAAAGTCTTGACTGAAAAATCCATACATAAAGGGATTGACTCCACTACTGAGGAAATGGGATCTCACCCCTATGTTATAGAGTATCTGCGCATCTTCTGACATATTTCGTACGAAATCCTTGTTTAGTGTCCTACCAAAAAGTAAACCAAAGTAAGGGAAGTAACTCGTCCACTGTATGAGTGTAATTAACAACAGCATTAAAGTTGTTCTTTTCATTCGTATTTGAATGGAAGGTCGCTTATGTGCAGAAACTATTAACTTATTTTCATTTAAAATGGTGGATTTTGCAGATTTAGGATTAACAGTTGAAAGATTGTGTTCCGAACTATTTAGATTGTTTGTGTTGAGATTGGTGGAGTCATCGTGCAGAATTTCTGGAGAAGATGATGTATTATTACTATTTTTCTCGTTGATAAATTTGTTTGTTTTCTTTCCTCTTCCTGTAGCTGAAAATTTACACAATTTGATCAAAACAAATGAGTATAATGTGAGAAGACACAGTGATACTATCAAAAAGAGGACAGAAACCATGCCATAGTACACTGTCGGATAAAGCGTATCTCGATATTCTCTGTCGATGGTACATGATGTCTCTGCAATGGGCCATTCACTTCTATTGAACTGTCCAAATATGATTAGACATGGCCAAGAAAATAGTAACGCAACTACTGCTGTCGATACACATAATTTCATTGCTAATGGAATTTGAATATGACTTCTTGCATATCTGCAAATTTTCATATATCGGTCCACTGCAATGACGACTAACATTAATCCGGCTCCCAATGATGTCATTGAACGAGAAAATCTTTGGAAACTACAGAGATATGGGTCATCTAGAGTAATTGGATTTTGAAGCATTGCTATTTCAATGGGCATGCAAGTGACTGAAGTTATCAAGTCGTATGCTGCTAAGAATCCAATAAAATATTTAACGGTTTTCTTCTTCCATCTGAAGAAATAAATGTAACACACGACAAGATTACCCACAATTCCTAGTATCATTAAAATTGTCACATATACGACGACCGGAAGTAAGGTCAAAGCCATTTTTTGATCCAGCTCCAAAATCCTATCATCAGGTGACAATTCATGCTTCCTTTTTGACATGCACCGTGTACAGTTTTCAGCCAATTGTTGTACTGATGTACCATTCATACCTTACCCTATAAAAAAGGGTAGGAAATAAACTAATAAACTAATATACACTGTATACTCAAAATAAATCAGTAATTATGTTATTAACAAATAATCTAATTCCTATTGTAACGCGCCATTTGATAGTATAAAAAAATTATTTTATATCGAATTAACTGTGATGCCTTCGTCACAATGACGTGCGTCAAAAACGTATCAATCGCCTGACGTTACATTAAAATTGTGTATAATTTGACGTCATTTTATAAGGATAATCGTCGTATTTTCTAACATTAAATGAATGAAAATTAAATTACAAGGAATGGATTGAATAGCTTCCAAATCTATACGACATTAACTGGGTTTGAACAGTTTACGCTTTTTCATAAACCGCTTAGCGATTTATACAGCGTAAACTGCCCCAACCCACTTTATACCGTATAAATTGGGTGACTATTCATTCCTTAAAGTCACATATGGCGTATTTTTTTTTAAAGTTCAGACTAACTAAAATTAAAAAGATCTTTCTATTTGTTTTATTACTTTGCATAAAGTTAGGACTTTCCTGTAAATTACACAATTTAAATCAATCAAGTTTCAAAGATATTAGAAATTTAAAAACAATAACCGATTTATTTATCGACTCCGCATTTAGATAACAGACACAGTTAAAGTCAATATAACTATGGAAACATGAGGTTATTCAAGTTCAAATTCGGTAAAAAATTTAATTTGAACTTAAAAAAAAAAAAACATATATCATGTTTATCTAGACTCAATCTCGTATTTTTATTGTTTAGCTCAGATACGCCATATATAGCTTTAATTTTCTTCTATAACACTGTTATAGATCGTATGTTACATGTACAATTTCAAAAGTGTATTTCAATGCATTTACAAAAATTAATTTTATTCAAATAAGTAATAAAAATCTAACTTTGGTAATAATCATAGCTATACAGAATCTAAAACCCACCTTTTTAAATGACAGTATAGGAACGATGTAAGAACAAAGATAAAGCACTACTTGTGTCAATCGTAATTTTGGAATAAGGAAATTGTGAGAATTCAAGATCTAAATATACAACCCATTAAAAAAAAAACGGATAGCTTTTTAGGTTATGTTCCTGGTCTGTTTTTTAAGATCAGTAAAAATATACTTTGTATAATAATTCAAGAGATACATGTATAAACATATTTTGCGTATAACGAAGAAGAAAAGTTTGGGAACGCATTAGCCTTTGTTGATAAATAAAAAATTCTCAAAGTATATGATAAGCATTTATGAAATTAAACATTTTTGCGTGATGTGCAAATTGAAATTTCAAAACAATAAATAGTATTTGGTGAAGAAACTCATTTAAACAAAACACTGAATTTTTTCATTATAATAAGAAAAAATTGTCATTTCATATTTCAAAATGCCTTAAACAATTTTTTTTCCTGTAAAAATTCGAATTCAATTCTTTTAGAATTCATGATATACGAAAATGGTTTTCATGTCTAAGAAAGAGAACGTTGATACCAGGAAACAAAACTGTTTTTAATATATTTAAGCATTTTTTTCAAATCGAAAAAATCAACTTTCGAATATCAAAATGTTGTCCTTTATAAGAAATTCAGTAAGAAAAATTCCAAAGAATAATTTTAATATCAGGAATTCCAAATAAGCTGCAAGGATTTATAACATTTTTTCTCTAGACCTGACAAAGTAATCTTGTGTCATAATTGTTTAATAAAAATATACTGCTGCTTTCAGATTTCCGTTGCATAGAATTTATATGTTTACGATTGACAAGAGACATGAGTAATCATGATCCAGACTTTCTTTATAAGAAATTTTTACCACATTACACTGTCCCTTCTAAGGTCAAAGGAGTCTTGACATAATAAATCTTGAAGCCACATAAAATGGAGATATTCAATATATTAATATAAATAACGTTACGATTAGGTGATACCACCTATTGAAATTGGTGATATCACCTAATCGGCTTTTGAATTAGTGATATAATCTATTAGCTTTTGAATAGGTGATATCATCTATTAGCTTTTGAATTGGTGAAATCACCTAATCATCTTTTGAATTGATGTTATCACCTATTAGCTTTTGAATTGATGATATCATCTATTCGAATTAGTGATGTCGCCTATTTGATTTGATAGGCGATATCACCAATTTGATTTTGCATTAGCCATTCACTTTATTACAAGTACTTTTAGCTAGACTATCTATTATGATATGAGGAAGTAATTTTTTTTTTATATTAAGAATTAAACTCTATTCTGTTTAAAAAATAATAGAAACAAAATAAAAAACAAAAACAAAAACAAACAAATCAAAAAAAACAAAACAAAACAAAACAAAACAAAAAAAAAAAAAAAAAAAAAAAAAAAAAAAAAAAAAAAACAACAACCTAATTTCAAATATCAAATATTATTTATAACATTTTTTTAATTAAAAAAATGAAATGTATGAATACTTCAAATATAATATAATATTGAAAGCAATCATAGGATGATATTCCCAAAACATAATGCATACCCAGGATAGACATTTGAACTGTTATCTTTCTGTGGACATTTATAGGTGTAACACTCTCTTAGCATTTTTATGTTTTAGGAATTTCATGATATCCAAAGATTCAAATTTTTGTTACCAAGTTTTATTATATTTGAAGTACTAAAAGATAATAAAATAAAAAAAATTAAAAGTGACATCAAAGATTCGAATTTTTGATATCAAAGTTTTCTTTTATTTTAAGGACAGCAAGGAAAAACCTCCTTAAAAAATTCGATTATGAATCGGAACCAGCGATTTCGAAAGGGAAACTGACAGAAGTTCCGCACACATGATACTGGAAAGATTAAGGATATACATGAAAGTGTGCATTCTCTTAATTGCTATCTATTCTAAACTTAGGTAAGTTAACAGGAAAGAAGTCGTCCATCAAAATAGAGGACAAGTTTCCAGAATAGAATCACATAGTCAGAAGATCAAGGGATAGGACGAGTTTCCAGAATAGAATCACACATAGTCAGTAGATCAAGGGATCAGACTATAAAGGGAAAACTAATGTGTAAGCATTAAAAGCATTAAGTACCTTCATTTATTTCCAGCAAATCAATATAAGGCACACCCATCGGAATTTAAAGTTTTAAAACATACATATATATGTTAATTGTTAAATTTGACGTAAAAAACATAGTACGGTCACCTATGATTGCGTAACTGGGGCTAATAATGTTGACTGAATTGTAGCCTTTGTATAAGGGATTGGGGCTATTAATGTTGTTATTTTAGTCACCTTTGCAGATTTCTAATTGGCGACTCATTATGTCACCTGTCTGATATTATACATATATTTATTGCATGATAGTGAGGGAAATATGAAGATTTATTCAGCCAAGAAATATCATATTCCCCGAGGGCTTCGCCCGAGGGAAATATGATATTTCTTGGCTGAATAAATCTTCATGTTTCCCGAACATTCATGCAATGAATTGTTTATTATACCGAAACAAGCAAAAACTTTGAAATAAACATAAACTTTCAAATTCGGAACCGCTCGAAAATTCACTTTCATTTTTAACGTAAAGTTACTGAAACCCTTTGACACATCACTAATCATCAATTTTGTGACGTAAACCAGGCTATTGTGACGTCTACTACTCTCGGGAGTTTTCTTTCAACGAACGGTAAACTATTGCGGGAAAATGCACTAGGTTTCCGAAGAGGAGGAATATGATGCAAAGCATGCCGACGACCGTGAAATATGAAGTTTTATGGCCCGATCACGTGATAATCTAGAACCAATCAGATAACGCGTTGTGTAGAATAATTATAATGAGGTATAATAAACCTACTTATTCAAGTTTCGATAAACAGTTTCCATACACAGTTATGGTTACTAACATGAAATATGAAGATAACGACCAGTATTCAATCCCGAAAGTCCAATGAAACGATACAAATTTGAAGCAGAACAAACACGGACCTCAAAAATTAGAGGTGGAATCAGGTGCCATGGAGGACTAAGCATCCCCTGCCGACCGGTGACACCCGCCGTGTGCTCTTTGTTATGATCGGGACCCCCCCCCCCCCCCCGGAAAAATCCGTAGATAGTTCAGTGCATAAGTAATGGCCTAACAATTAGTTTGAATTGAAAAACATCAGTCAGCATTTGACTTAATGATAGGTTGTATGTGCTGACAAGATCATTGTATCGACCATAAAACTTGCGAAATGATGACTTCAAACGAGACTGTTGATATCCCTGTTTCATCAACTTGTTTGTCAATAGTTTGCCTCGTTTTAGAAAATTGTTCATACGGAGAGCATGCACTTGCGTATCGAATCAACTGAGAGACATAAACCTCATATGCAGGTGATAAGGGTATATTGCTACATAAGTAAGGGAAGTTGACGGTTGAAAGGTTAAAGTCATCATGTTTATCATAAAGCTTTGTTGTAAGGTTAACATGTGAACAATGCTTTATCAAAACCAGAAATTTCTCTTTCTACCCTGAACCCATAAAATAGACCTCGGTGACTCAACCTTGAAACAAGTCCACAACAAATTTGTATGCCAAGGAAAATGCAATTCGAAATTTTCAATAGCTTCGAATAGCAAAAGGAACTAACATAAACCTCAGACTGGACATGGGATATAATACTAACATCACATTGGTTTATGACTATAGAGGCAAGACTTTGAAACAAGATCATATACATGTTAAAAATCTATGCAGAAAAGGAATGAAGACTTGCAGTGATTCGATGCTTAATTATGTCAAAGTCGAATATGCAAAGAAAATACCCATACAATTGTGAATATTTCATGTTATGTTATCTTGTTTTTCATTGATCTTTATGTCTGCTTAAATAGAGTAAGCTTTTGAAATACACTGATTTTATTAAAAACATTTCCAATGTATCCTCTGCAACGTCACGGGTTCTGAGTCCACTCTTGGCCTTTGCACCCCTAACAAACTTTTTTATTTGATTTTACAGTTTGATTGTAGCGACGTCGTTCTGGAAATTACAAATCTTGAAATCTTGTATTTTATATACATGAATTCATATGTCATTTGATTTTCCCTCTTTTTAATGTAAACTAATGAGACCCCCCATTTGATTGGTGCTTGCTGAATCAGGACTTCTGTCCTTGTGAAGAAGTCTTCAGGGAAAGGTCTGGATTTTTTAAATAGCTCTTTAACGTTGTATTAGTTTACATATCACAATATCTGTAAACTCTAAACTTTATAATACATGTATGAATCTTAATAATGTTGTTTTAGAAATGAAATTTCGGCAAACTGTCATTTGAAACGATACGACAGTAATATTGAAATCAATCGTATGTCTCCTAAAAGACTTATTTTATGGATAAAACTTTGATACAAATAGTGTAATAAGAATAAGTATACTGGACTAATAAATATTCACTGAAATCTGATTTTTTACTAATTTCTTGATTTTTGTTGGAATTGGTGTCAAGAATAAATAATTTGGTAATTACAAACTTATCTTAAGATATCATTTAAGAGACTTCGTAATTAGCAGAGATTGGACTGGTTGAATGCTACCAAACAGGATTAGATGATAATTTTAAGGAGGGGGGGGGTTGCAAATGAAAATTAAACAAGCCTATACGTAACAATTTTAAAATCCCTTATCTGTAGTTTTACAAAGCTTTTAAACATAAAAACAATCTGACTTAAAGTAGCTGACAATAACAAATCTTTAAATACGTGCACTAAGTAAAGGTAAAGAGGAGTGTGTCAAAAGGAGTTCCAACCAAAATTGCTTAATAAAGCATAAAATATTTCATTGCTCGATGAATGCTATTAACACACGGCGGGTGAGACCAGTCGGCAGGGGATGCTCACTCCTCCATGGCACCTGATCCCACCTTTGATATTTAGAGGTCCGTGTTTGCTCTGCTCCTATTTTGTAATATTTAATGGACTTTTGAGCTCGAATACTTTTCGTTATCTTTATCGCATTTTCATGTATACGTTTAAACTTCAAAGATATGTTAGTTTAGAAATGAGAGGGAGAATATTACCATATTAGCGCTCATGACGTGAGAGATATTCTAGTTTGTAATATTTAGGTCTATGTAGTTGTATAACTATAACGAAACTTGTTGTTTAATGCCTTAACTTTGTCAAGTTTCTTTGTCCTTTTGCAATAATTTTCCTTTAATACTACTGATGATTGTTGGATTGGTTGTAGGTTGTTTTACATTCCATTCGAGAATTCTTTCACTCATGCCATATAGCCATGACGTCTTTCCATATTTTGATTCAGGGCTTCTTTACACCTCTACACGGCACTCAGGGCAATCGAGCAATATGAGATCTTTATCGAGGCAACGCCTGCTGTGACACGGGGCCTCACATTTTAAGGTCTAATCCTAAAGACCCACAACATTCACTTCAATGTGCAGAGCGCTTTGCGAAGGAACAGTTGCTACCTTTTTTGTTGACTTAGGTCAGACGCGGCCGTGGTTTGAACCCACGGGCTCCCAAACATATAATACTTTAAGATTGTTGCGCTTAACTTTAATTTGTAAAAAGTGATTAGTTTTTTTTCCATTTATTTATAGCAAAAACCCTATGAATAAAAATATATCGAAAAAAGTTCATTTGTTCACTAGGTTCAGATAATCGTGTACAATTATCTGCACTTCTTAACTGAAAAGGTTGAAAAAGGAAATACATCTGTATAACATTCCAGGGCTCCTTTCCTGAGGAAAATCATTTTTTGATTTTTGTGCTTCAAGAGTAAGCTTTCTGCAAAAAAAAAAACCTGTTAGAAGTAAGCTAGAATTACTTATCTATGCAAAATTTTACTACCATATTTAGCGAAATGAAGTCACCATTGAACTTACATGATTTAATCCCCTCCCCACATACTCTTAACGCGTGGCGCAGTGGTTAGAGCGTCTGCTCTAGAGCCGCGAAGTAAGGAGTTGATCCTTACGTCGAGGGTTCGAATCCCAGTGTGGGACGTGGAGACCGGTCCTTCGGATTAGACCGTATATACCGAGGTTCCGTGTCGCAGTAGTTGCTGGCACGAAAAAGATCCCTCACTGCTCAATGGCCCTAAGTGCCGAGTATAAGACAAAATTTGCAGCTCTCCACCGGCAAGTGGCGGCGTCTCCATATGAGTCAAAAATTCTCGAGAGGGACGTTAAACAACATACAAACAAACAAACATATACTCTTAAAAATCAAGTCAAACTATTAATATGCATAGTACATGTACTGCGTATTCATAAACTTTGAAATTCATATTTCTAACTGGGAAACTTTATTTCATGGATGTTAAATTGTGACGTGCTGAATTTCCAGGAGGAGGACTTTCTTATTTTATAGAAACAATCATTAAACAGGATATGTAAGATTCGGCTATTTTTGTTTCTTAATCTACTCACTGCTAGCATTGTCCTCTATTTCGTTTATCAGTGAGGCACGTGTAAGGTTACCATTACCAAGGACAACTTAACCAGAATATCTTGTCTATTTTATCATGCTTTCCACTTGAGTAAATTAATTCCTCAAAGTAATAAGTTTTTCAATGGATGAAGTCTGTCAGTCTCCCCGATGGTTACTTTTTTGTCAAAAACTACGTTTCATTAAAGATTTTTGTAGACCTTTGTACCATGTTTTGATAAATCATGTAGACCTTTGTACCATGTTTTGATAAATCATGTAGACCTTTGTACCATGTTTTGATAAATCATGTAGACCTCTGTACCTTGTTTTGATAAATCATGTAGACCTCTGTACCATGTTTTGATAAATCATGTAGACCTTTGTACCATGTTTTAATAAATCATGTAGACCTTTGTACCATGTTTTGATAAATCATGTAGACCTCTGTACCATGTTTTGATAAATCATGTAGACCTTTGTACCATGTTTTGATAAATCATGTAGACCTTTGTACCATGTTTTGATAAATCATGTAGACCTCTGTACCATGTTTTGATAAATCATGAATAAATGGGAAGTAACATGTTTTAAAATGAAGGTTTCTGTTCCAATTATATGATATTACAAGAGATGGAGATATGATGGTTATAAAATATCTGTTTCCATGGGAATGAAATTATAAACATAATGCAGAAACTTTACTATGATACGGATGTATCGAAGGTTCTTATAAATCAATATCTCAGGAGTTAATTCGGAAGAATAGTCTATAAAATAAGAAACAAAATAAAGAAAGAAATAACATACAAGAGTGAAGAAGACGAACAGTGATCAATCTCATAAATAAATCAAAGAATACGAACCATGAACAAGGCAAAAACACAGAGCCCAGAAAACACAAGACGTAGAATCTGGTGCCTTTGAGGAGTAATCATCCCCTGTTCACCGGTCACAGCCGCCTTGAGTCCTCAGTACTGATCAAGTTAATGGAGTAGTCTGTAGTCAAAATGGCATAAATAGAAATAAATAAAATTATCCAAAAATATGACCACCCCCCCCCCCACCCAATCCAGATTTTTTGACTAAAATCCACAAATTGTGCAAAAAACCTTGACTTTTTGTTTTTGTTTTTATGACCTAACTAACATCTAATCTAAAGGCTTGTTTCTTTGTGTCTGTAACTGTTTATTTTTGTTACAGGATGCTTAAGAAAGCTAATCTTTCTATTAACATTAGTTCCGTTGTCCTTTGTATTTCGTAAGAAAAGTTTTCTATAATCTTTCCTTTTAAATCTTTCTAAAATCTCTTTTTCGAACAAATAAAAAAAAGTAATGAAATAAAATTCTTAAAAATTAAGCAAAAAATTTCTATTTACTGACAACTAAAAATTTGATAAATTTAATAATTATTGAGACGAATATATAAAATTTGAAATTTTAAACTGTCTCAGTGTGAAATGACTTAACCAAATATCTTCTAAGTTATACGAAAGTAAATGCTTTTTAAGGACAATTTACCGAAAAATTTATTATATCTAAATAAAATTTGTATTTACTGAGCCTATTTCATGTAACTATGGATCTATAAATTTATGAATATACCTAGGTGGGTGAAAATAAAAAAAAAATAAACATGATATAATTATAAAGAGAGGAAAAAATGTGACGAATACGAATTTCACAATGAATAGATTTCTATATTCTTCCCAGATCACTACATAAAGACAGGAGTATTTAGATAGGAATAAGTGAATAAGAAAAGAATCTTATTTGAACTGAAATACTTCCTAACAAGCTGATATGGGAATTATAAGGAATGTCACGTTTATTGTTATATATATAGAGATAAGTGATATGAGTCATTGTATTCTAGTTTTGTAACAGAACTGTGAGCAATGGACAGTAAAACCCTCTTGTGTGGTATTGCACTGTTAGTCGGTGTAGTTTACGGTAAGTAAATAGAGAAGTTATAGTAATAATATAACATATAGATAAATTACTCCAGAGAGAGAGAGAGAGAGAGAGAGAGAGAGAGAGAGAGAGAGAGAGAGAGCAATGTAAATGGTGATATTATCCACTATCATGGCTACTTTATCCCGTCTGTTGTGGTCATTAGGAAGCGATGCCCCTTGCACTAACTCAGGTGGTCACTGCCAAGATGACCATCTGGCCTGTCATAATGGTCACTATCAGAGCGGGATGTGTTCAGGAGGGACACACCGAAGATGTTGCTTGACCAGTGCCTCACACACTGGATCATTCTCCTCTGGTAAGTCTGATAAAAATATCGTTGAAAAAAGAATTCGACTGAAAATTACTTAAACTCTTTCAGGATTCCACTTCAAATTTTAACCGTAGGTTCGTTTATTCTTTTTAAAAGTGAATTTTCTGGGTTTAATAAAGTTAATCATATGTAATATAATTTACCTGAAAAAAAGGTTCAAATCAATGTGTTTCTGTTGCCCGTGATTCCTTCTAGCGTCTGTTCCCTTCCAGGTATCGTTTCACAACATTGCTTGCAGTGCATTTGTAATGTAAGTATCTTTATTGGAAGTAACGTACCGCTTGACCAAAAATCAAAGTAAAACCGAAATAAATGTAAAGAAGATGGGCGAACAAGGTGAGCGAAATGCCTATAATGCGACAAACATGAAGGTGAAAAATTAAATTTCAATTATAACAAAATTTTCTTTGATATTTCATCTAACATTAAAGTATACTTTATGCAAAATCTCCACAATTTGCAAAAATCTCACAAAGATTGAAATTATTGGCCTAAGAAACTGCATATACACACTAATGAGGACAAAAAGGATCATTCTCTCATATTATAGCACAATTTTTCCATGTGAGTGGGTCTTCTCTCCATTTTTTTTTTGAAGGATTATCCTCAAAATATACATGTTTTGGTTAAGAACATGGAGCAAAGGTCAACTATACCTTAAAAATACACTTTTATGATAAAACATTTGCGTCTTTCCGAGGAATTCTTAAGTCCATTTAGTCAAGGGTCATATCACAAACATGATTTAAATGTCACTATTCATCAGGAGCTGCGTTGCGTAGTGATTAGCATGTTAGTCTTGAAGAAAATGATACTCAGGATATTTATTGCAAAGGTTCGAATCCCACGAATACCACATTTTAATAATAACAATAATTTTTGCCAAGTAATTTTTCCTCAGAAAAGTTCTGTTTATCATAATTTCATAGATTTCAATAATAAGAACTTTACTCTAAATGCTATATTCACAGATTGAATATGATTTTTATATATCTGAAGCTATAGGCATTCTGCACTCCTTGTTCGTCCATCTCCTTTACATAATTGTCAAACATATACATGTTAACGTTGTTTAAATTTAATTATCACATGTTTACGCCTTTATACAGTGGATATAGCTCATAGGATATCGTTTTCATATCCACGATTGTGACGTCACAATGGTTTTTGCGTGAATTTGTGGACTAACATGTATAAGACAATGTAAAACATGAAATAGCTATGTGTAGAACATGTGATAAAAAAAATCTCTAATGGTTTGTGGCTAGATATGATTTTTTTATCCAGATCCTCGTGTGATTTTATCCCCTTGCCAAGGCTCGGGAAGAAAAACACATAACCCGTTGGATAAAAAAAAAATCATATTCAACCACAAACCATAGGAGATCCTATAATTATCAGATTCTTTTGCTATAGTTCTAAGCCCAAATAAAATCCTAAATAGGATTCGAAATTTAGCACAGGAAGGCAAAGATAATTGTTATAAAGAAGTTTATTTAGCACAGGAAGGCAAAGATAATTGTATTAAAGAAGTTTATAGAAAAAAAAAGTTTTAGAATTACGTACAAGTTTCATTACCTAATATTTACATTTGCTGTGTTTTTCTACTAAGCCAACTGTGAAATTGATTTGAAAGTCATTTTTGTGTATTCTCACGCGTAGAAATATACACGGTGAAACTCGTGCTAAAGTGACGTCACAATGAGGCTACAAAAATGTAGTGATATAGAGCAGCGAATAATCCAAACATTGAGTAAATATTAACTCAGAATTTGTTTTAAACTCTTTGGCATTATTATTCGACAGTAGGAACTGATTGCTTATTATTCAGAAAAATGTCTATGATAACAAGTTATAAACGTTTCTAAGCATGCTCGAGAATGTTGATTGCAGGTCCTATTGAACGTCGCATAGCGTTGTGAAAGGCTGGAAAGGCTGGAAAGATTTAATATTTCAAATTTTGAAATGGTATTGCTTTTGATGGACTCTGTGCTTAACTTCTTCATCACGCCTTCTAAAGATTGAATTGATTATGTTTATAAGTGGTTCAAAGAAGTTATATAAGATCAGAATGCTTTTGCAAGTGAGTTAAGGCAATGTATAGGAGTTTTTATGCAAATAAACTAATAAAAACACATAAGAGGTATATCTATTATACAGAGAGGTTAAAATTCACTTATTATACATACTTGTTATAGCCAGTGCACATTATGACGTCACACTATGACGTCACTGACGTCATACGTCACTGACGTCATACTATGACTTCACTGTTCTTTACTACTCTTGGTAATAAATTACATCAACAAACAGCTTCGGCGCAAGGGCACATCCCTATTTCATTTTACAAAACAGGGTCTTGGGTTCATTGTTGAATTAAAAGCCTTGGATATGTAAATGGAATTGAACTGGATGTGAATTGACTTTTAAAAGCTTAAGCATTGCATTAAAAAAAATTTGCAAAATTTATAAAATTGTATTACCATTCCGCTCAAGCGATTGGCGGATCGCCAATTTTTGATTGACAGGAACATTAGCCGATCAGAACGCTCGGTTTACACACATCTTCTGAAGGTAAGCTTTTTTTCAGGTAAAGGAACATTGTGTTTAATAAATAAAACATAGAAAAGTCGTCTTGAATGTCATTACATAGTACTGCATTCGCTATTGTTTACATCGAATGTCGGCATTTCAATTCATATTTACCGTTGTCATGGTGGGCGGGGCTTAAGCTTATGCGAGGATCTGCGATCCGCCAATTCTGGAATATGTTAACCTACTACATATGTGTTATGATTAAAACTGTTCTGTAGATATAAGGTTCCCTATATATATTTTTATCTCTATAAATTCTTATTCTATATGAGAAAAAATGTTTTAGCTATGTTTTTATATATTTTTATTCTACAAACGTTTTAGGTGGAATCCGGGTGCAAGGCCATCGGTTGTCACTTTGACGTCAACTCAGATTCCTGTGGTTATTTCCAGATAAAAGAGGGCTACTGGCACGACTGTGGTTCTCCAGGATCAAGTAAACATAATTATTAACGATTCACAGATAGGATCAAGTAATCCATTTACATTTCATATCACATATCAGAGTGAGCATCACTGAAGAGACATAAATTGTCGAAATGAACATCTGGTGCATCAAAATTGGTACCGTTTATGATTTACAATATCACTGAAAGTAGATCAAGTAGTCCATTCACAATTTACTGACCACAAATTGAACTATTCAGTTACTAGTATCTGATAGGATCTGGTATACTCTTTAATATTTGCTGATAGTATTAGGTAAATATAATTATTGATAATTAGCTGATAAAATTAAAAATTATAATTATTTACAATTGACTGAGAAAATCAAGTTAATTATTCTCACTTCATTGATAGGATCAAGTAAGCTCGGAGATAAAAACACACAACTAGTTGGATAAAAAAACGTATCCAACCACAAACCATGGGAGACCCTAATTTATCTAATTAGATCAAGTAAACTATTCAAAGTTAAATGATATGACCAAGTGATCATAATAATTCACCACTCGGTGATATGCCAAGTTAACATGATTAACTCAATTAAATGATTGGAAGAAAATGCTTTTCATAATTGACTGATAGGATCAAGTAAACTATTCTTAATTAACTGATAAGATCAAGTGATCAAAATCATTCAGAAATAATTCAAAGGACTGAGTAAAAATAATAAATTCACAATTAACTGATGAAATCAATTAACTGAAAGGATCAAGTAAACAAAGTTATTTACAATTAATTGATAGGACAAAGTAAACTATTCACAATTTACTGATAGCATCAACCATAACCGTAATTATTCACTATTAACTGATATGACAAAGAAATTATCTAATTAAAATTCACAGTAGATTCAGATAAGCTTAAGTATTTAAAAACACTGATAGAATCGTTTATTTTAATAATTTACAATTCCCTGAAACTTGGTACACGGTAACTCATTCGGTAGAGCGTTCGCTCGGTGATCGGAAGGTCGGGGTTCGAGCCCCGGCCACGACTGTCCTAAGTCGATAAAAAATAGGTAGCAACTGTTCCTTCGCCAAGCGGCCGGAACTTTGAAGTGAAAGTTGCGGATCCTTCGGATGAGACTTAAAAACCGAGTCCCCGTGTCACGACAGGCGTTGGCACGATGAAGATCCCTAACTGCTAAATGGCCCTGAGTGCCGAGTAAAAGTCTAAATTTGAAGCCCTTTACCAGTATATGGTGATGTCTCTATTAGGCGAAAAATTCTCGAACAGGACGTAAAACAACATACAATCAATTAATTCCCTGAAAAGGTCAAGTAAACTTAATTATTTACAATTAACCGATAGGATCAAGTTAAGTACTGATTTGACCAAATAAACTGTTAACAGTTCAATGATAAGAACATGCTTTCAAGTATCGAATTAACTGGGAGACATAAATTCCATATGCAGGTGATAACGGTGTATTATTTCGAGTTCAAATGGGTATATCATATCGAATCAACGTAGGAATTGTAAATAAATAAAATGTTGTAGATATATCTAAATATTGAATTGAAGGTGACAGCAAGAGGCTTCCTTTTTTCATGTAGAAGTTTTTGAATAAATCTGGCTTCATATGAAAAAATAGAAAAATAGGTCAGAAAATAGGTCTGTTAATATATAACGGGGAGCAATGGGTACCCATGGGAATTACGACAGATTGTCGGGAGACTTGATCTCCAAAAACTACATAGATATTGTCAATAAGCAACTCAAATATCTTTTAATGTCACTTTTGGAGTAGTTGTGTGTACTATCAGAATGTTTTTAACAAAATGATAGGAACAAGTTAACAAAGTTATTTACAATTAAATGATAGGAACATGTTAACAAAGTTATTTACAATTAAATGATAGGAACATGTTAACAAAGTTATTTACAATTAAATGATGGGAACAAGGAAACATTATTATTTACACTAATAGGATCAAGTAAACTTTACCTTTAACAATGAACAGATAGGTTAAAGTAAACATAACTACATGTATTTGGGTTTTAAGAGTTAATTAATAGGATCGAGTAAACTTAAATACATGAGTTAACAATATACTGATAAGATTAAATAACAGAAATAATATCTTACTTGATCCAACCAATGGTGTTTCGGGGGGGGGGGGGGCGTGTTTGCCCCGTTTTCAATTATATGTGTTTTTTTAATTTTAGCTAAATCATAGTTCGCTTTCGATCTGAGACATACAGGCAACACCGAAAGTTACCTTATATTTTAATTTATAAGTATTTGAAATGAACATAGATTCGTTTTTGGTATATCCTGCTGAATCGTGGTTTTCTTTTTATCCTCTTTTTCAATTGAATTTAAGAATGTTGAAATTAATTTTTTTTACAGGAATGTTCTTTCTGTGAATATATTTTATACAGTGATGTTTAAATTTTTACTTAATATCTTCTTTCCTTCAGGCTGGAGATCATGTGCCAACGACTTGGCTTGCGCATCGAAATGCGTTCAAGCTTACATGTCTCGATATATCGGCTTCAGTGGTTGCTCTCACTCGTGCGAGAGTTACGCGAGAATTCATAATGGTGGACCAGCTGGCTGTAGGCATTCCAATACTGCTGGATACTGGTCACATGTCCATGCTCAAGGCTGCAACCATAATAGTTAATAGATGTATGCATAATTGAGATTCTTTACTTGAATTCACGAAACACTTCCGACTTGATTTTCTTTTTTTATTATTTGATGTGTGGATAAAAATACAAATACCAAAAGTTCATGAATTTCTGCTGTATTGCTTTTCTCATCGCAAATAACAATATTACTACTACTTAAAAAACGACAAGGTGAAGATAACGAACAGTGATCGATCTCAAAAAATCTACAAACAATACAATTCTGTTAAGAGGGTATAGAACACAGACCCCTGGAAATTCCAGAGATGGAATCAGGTGCCTAGGAGGAGTAAGCATCCCCTGTGGACCTGAAACAGCCGCCGTATGCCCTATGTATTGATCAAGTAGACGGAACATTCCTAGTCAAATTCAGTTTAAAAACAAAATGATAAGAATTCAAAGTATCAAAAAGAAGTGAAAAACAGAATGGCTTCCTGAAATGGCTTCAAAGGAATGGTATTTGCTAAATTGTAATAGTGTTTGCATTAATAAACCGTTTACAATTACTATTTTTTGCATTCTCTTTCATTTTTTGTGAGGCAGTATCGTCATCTCATTTCATTTAACGGTGCAAATAATTCTGCATGCTTTCTTTTATTTTGATGAAATCCATAGCTATGTTTTCACATTCGATTTCTGAGTGATTTGGGTATATTTAAACAAAAGGCATGAGAAATGGAATAGAATAAATACTTATATCACAGAATCATGAGATCCACTTGTATCAAAATGAAGTTGAGACGGAAAACTCCATTCCGAACACTCCGCAGAGGAGGGTGAGCAGTTTTCATTCTGAGGCTCATTCCTGGCGACAAAATTTGAGTTTAAGCTCTTTTAAGTCTTTTTCCCGATTTAATAATACTAACCCTCTGCAGTCCTTTCCCCGATATAAGAATTGGATTTATGTGAAACTGCCGATTTCCCCGTTTTTATTTACTTGTCAATTATTTCTCTGGATACCCTTCTACTTTGAAAATTTAAATGATAAACTAAGCCAGGTACTTGTTGATTAACAGTGTGCTTCAGCTGAACTTCCTCTGCAGTCTGCAGAAAAGAAAAAGACTAGTCAAATACATGTGTAACTTGAACAGAATTCTAGATATTCATGAAACTCTGTTAACATCCCTGCTGCCAGTGATATGCTTTATTCTGGAATATGAATTGTTACCTTGACATATTGAGTTTTACACCATGTGGGTCAAATTGAGTTTAATGCTTACAAATCATATATAGTCCGCAGATTCTCAAAGTATAGTCTCAATACGCTTTAATTAATGTACAGTGTTTTAAGGAATAAAACATTTGAATTGAATATTATCACCTTCATATTGAGTTATGTCTCCCAGTTGATGAGATAGGCAAGAACAATCTCTACGTACGAACAGTTTCTAAAACGAGGCAAGCTATTGACAAATAAGTTGATGAAACAAGAATATCAATAATCTCTTTCAAAGTTAACATTTCGCAAATTATTATGGTCGATACATTGGCCTTGTAGACAACGATCTTTCATTTACCTGTAGTTGACTAACGTTTTTCTTATAAATTGTTAGGCCAATATTTTCACACTGAATTGACTACGGATTTTTCTGTTTGTCCGATTATGACAAGGAGCACCAGAGTGATCGATCGACAGGGGAGGCATACTCCTCCATGGTAGCTGATCCCACCTCTAATATATTTAGAGGTCTGTTTGTTCTGTTCCAAATTTGTATTGTTTCTATGGACGTTTGGATTGATCACTGTTCGTTATCTTCATATTTCATTCAAAGGATTTTTATTTTCTGCCAATCATATAAACCATTGTTGGTTGTTGATTAAAATACAACATTTGCTTGTTGTAATTGTATGAGAAGAAGATAACATTTTAAAGCATAAATCGATATTTACTTTTTTCCTCTCAGATAATTGTGTAGTTTTTATTTTGAATTGAGAAGCTTGAAATTATATACAGATCTTTTTCTTAGAAACATTTTCTTACATTTTAGCTATATTATCTGAACATCACACCCTTCACACATATGTGTCACAAATAAAAAAAAAATAATGTAACATTAAAATTTGATGTTCAACAAAACAAATGGAGCATGAAGATAACGAACAATATTCAAGCTCAAAAATCTATTCAAACAATACAAGTCAGGAGCAGAGCAAACACAGACCTCTAAAACATCAGAGGTAATCTGAGTACTGAAATTTACTGAAATGATGCAATATGATTAAGTTGTAATTTGTTAACAAGAGGAACATCTATGCTATTATATGGAATGTTACAAAAGACTGTTTTTCATCATTTATCAAACATAGCACCCCTTTTATTATAAATCCAGTGATTATAGATTTCATTTATATTTACGTGTTAGTATTTATTCACAGATTAAGTAAGAGAACAGTTTTGGATCAAATTGACATACACTAAAGCAATAGAATATGTCTTTAATTAACAGTGAAGTAATTAAACAAAACATTAAACGATAGGATAAAGCTCGTAAAAATATATACATTACCGATATTTCCGTAACCAATATATATGATATCTTGTTTTAAAGTATCCATTCCCATTTTTTATTACCCATTTTTATTGCTTGCATGACATGATAAATTATCAACCTAATTTTTCCATTAAAATTGTTGGTTAGGCATAGAAGGCATGCGTCTATGCTTTAATATAATTTATTTAATTTACGTTATAAGTTACAATTGTTTTTGTTTTTTTTTTTTTTGTTGGAAATGCTCGCAACACACAATTGGAAATGCTCGCAACACACAATTGAAATTATTGACACAATAGTTTTTTTTTGTTTATTTGTGAGTTTTTCGATAAAACTTTCACAGGCGATTAAGCATTTGAAACACTCAACAGATGAAATGGTCGAATGGGAGGGGGGGGGGTAAAAATTGAATTAAATCATAGCTTGACTTTTCAATTTATTCTCCTTTGTCATTACACAAAATAATCTAATTTGTATAATTTGAAATGATCTTTTTTTTGCGAAGATACATTTATTTTTTGTTTTTTTTATCTATAGCTATTTGAGATATTTAACATACACTTTATAATTAGTTTATGATAAAATATTTAACATTCTTATTTTTTTGATAAAGTGTATTTCTTTGGTCTGATTAATACAGAACTTAAAAATCATGTTTAAATAGAAAGAAAATAATTTCTTTTCAATGAGAATTATGTCTGTTTTATTTTGACTATTTATCGAATTAAAGACTCCACATTCCTTCTGCAAATGTTCTTAAACTCTTTTACAAATGTTTATAGTTCACTAAATTTGATGTGTGTTAACTTAATTGAGACCTTTTTTTAAGAAGACTGTTCGGAAATTATTGAGACTTTTACTTTAACTTTTTGGTGAAAGTTCACCAGAATTTTATCAAGAACATATGATACTACTCTGCAATATCTCTTGATGATAGTTTTATTAGATTAATCCTGGTAAAATTATAAACTTGCATATGTCCATTGACCTGGAGCATTCCGCAGAGATAATAACGTCATTTTAACGTCACTTCAGAGTTACTTTTCGCACATTAAAGCGATCGGAAAGTCAACTGTTTCTCTTTTGTCATCAGTTGGTGTTATTCTAGAAAGTAAAAAGGCAAAAATTCTCTTTATTCTTAAACCGTCTTTTACAAACGTTCGTGCTCTTACAACCCCAATGCCTTCTATTACAATCGGACGTGCGTCAATTGGTAACTTTAGGACTGGGGAGGTTAATTCGTCCTTAAAATAAATGATGGTTGTTTAACACTTTTGTTTTCACTATAGTTAAATTTAAATGATTTGTCAGAAAGACGCTAAAATCAACTATAAACTAAAATCCTAGACACGTATCCTCTGCATTGTGTTTGTTTAAGTAAGTCTTTTGGCTGAACATTTTTACTCACCTCAGTACAGAAATTATTGTTTGTCCGCTGCTCCGCTTTGACATCAAAATTCATTTTTCGTCATAATCAGATTTCTTTAACATGATGAAAAATCATAACGATATTCATAGTTATAATCGAAATCAAACCTTAAAAAAAAAGCCAGGAAAAGATCCAAATATGATGAGTTTATGAATGTGTACGTGATTACATACTTATTCATACATTCACTGGGGCAATAAAGACTTAGTTTGCATTAGCTGCAGAGTTCCAACACATGATTTTGAGACTGTGCTGGGTAGGTACACTATCCACAAAATAATAGATCATTGAAATGAAAAATTATTCCTTGATTTTATATGCAGTGTATGGTATTCCCGGACAGCACTAGAAGTACTGAATAAATCAAAGAAACCAAAACCGTTTACCAATAAAGAAAACCCAAAAAGAAATCCGAATCCTTTACCAATAAATTCTCAATAAATTCAAATTTCGCAAACCTTTACACTGATTTCTTTTCAAGTGAAATACGAAGATTACGAACAGTAAAAGTCCATTGAAACAATACAAGTTGGAGCAGAGCAGATAGGGACTTTAAAAAATATAAGAGGTGGGATCAGGTGCGATGCAGGAGAAAGCATCCCCTCTCGACCGTGCCATGCGCTCCCTGCTACGATCGGGTAAACGGGAAAATCCGTAGACAGTTCAGTGTGAAAATAATGGTCTATGAAATTTGTATGAAAACGTCAGTCAGCATTCTACTTAAGATTAAATTCACGAAAAGGCCACTGCATCGACCACAGAATTTGCAAAATGTTGATTTTAAATGAGACTGTTGGTATGCACATTTGACTATACGGGCCCTTTTCATGATAAGTTACAATTGACGTCTACTAACTGCCGTTTAAAATGATGACCAAATTCCATCTGTGTTGGTCCCATCGGTAAAAAGTTAATCTTGGACATTGAATCAATGGTTTAAAAGGGGGGATTAATTCAAATTACTTCTTGAAATTTTGAAAATATTAACAAATTAATCTTATATGGAGAAAATTAGTTGACGGGTAATGATCACACCTACACTACATTGTGGCAATCCTATATTATACGTCAAGGGTGAGTCAGGACATTCAATGAATCTGTCTAGCACCTAGCTCTAGACACTACATAAAAATTGCAGCAAAAGATATATTATGCAAA